TGGCTTCTCTTATTTCTCTTTCTGCAACTTTGTTGTTAGTGTATAGGAATGCTATTGATTTTTGAGTATTGATTTTATAGCCAGCTACATTACTAAATTTATTTATTATATCTAGCAGTCTTTCAATGGAGTTTTGGGGATCTTCTATATAGAGTATCATGTCATCTGCAAATGATAGCTTCTTCTTTTCCTATCTTTATGCCTTTTATTTCTCTCTCTTGTCTAATTGCTCTGGCTAATATTTCCAGTACTATATTAAATAGGAATGGTGATAAGGGACATCCTTGTCTTGTGCCTGATTTTAAAGTAAAGGCCTTCAATTTTTGGCCATTTAGTATGATATTGACTTTTGGTTTGTCATAGATGGCCTTTATTATATTGAGGTAAAGACCATCTATTCCAATTTTTTGCAGGGTTCTTATCATGAATGAATGATGGACCTTATCAAAAGCTTTTTCTGCATCTATAGAAATGATCATGTGGTTCTTAACTTTTGGCTCTATTGATATGGTGTATTACATTTATTGATTTACGTATATTGAACCATCCTTGCATTCCTGGGATGAATCCCACTTTGTCATGGTGTATAATCTTCTTGATGATTTGCTGCATCCTATTTGCCAATATTTTATTGAGGATTTTTGCATCTGTGTTCATTAGGGAGATTGGTCTGTAGTTCTCTTTTTTAGTTGGGTCTTTCTCAGGTTTTGGTACTAGAGTAATATTTGCTTCCAGAAATGACTTAGGAAGGATTGTTTCCCTTTCAATTTCATTGAAGAGTTTGAGGAGTGTTGGCATTAGGTCTTCTTTGTATTTCTTGTAGAATTCTGCAGTGAATCCATCTGGGCCTGGACTCTTCTTTGTAGGTAAGGATTTAATTACCTTTTCGATTTCATTAATAGAAATTAGGTTATTCGGTAGTTTTACAAGTTCATGACCTAGCTTTGGTACTTCATATGCTTCTAAGAATCTGTCCATTTCCTCTGTGTTATCAAACCTTTGAGAGTAGAGGTTTTCAAAATAGGTGTTGATGATTTTCTATATTTCTGTAGGGTCTGTAGTGATTTCTCCTCTTTCATTCCTTATTGCATGAATTTGAGCTTTTTCTTACCCTTTAATAAGGTTTACAAGGGGCTTATCAATTTTATTTATTCTTTCAAAGAACCAACTCTTTGATTCATTGATTTTTTAGATTTTTTTTTAGTCTCTATTGCATTGATTTCTGCTCTGATTTTTATAATCTCTTCTTTTGGCTTTGGGCTTGACTTGCTCTTCTTTTTCTAGCTGTTTGAGGTGTAACATCAGGTTATTTATTTGTATTCGTTCTGTTTTCCTGATGTGTGAACTCAGTGCAATAAATTTTCCTCTGAGGACAGCTTTCATTGCATCCCACAGATTCCGGTAAGTTGTATTTGTGTTTTCATTTTCTTGTAGGTAGTGTTTAATTTCTCCTTTGATTTCCTTTGTGACCCACTGATTACTCAAGAGTGTGTTATTCAGTTTCCATGTGTTTGTGGGAATTTTGTAGTATCTTTTATCAATTTCTAATTTCATAGCGCTATGGTCCGACAGCATGCGAGGGATGATTTCAACCCTTTTGCATTTCTTTAGATATGTTTTGTGAATTAATATATGGTCTGTTTTAGAAAATGACCCATGCACTGCTGAGAAGAATGTGTATTCTGTTGTTGTTGGGTGGAATACTCTGTATATGTCTATTAAGTCCATTTGTTCACAGGTGTGATTCAGTTCTTTTATTTTTTTACTGATTTTCTGGCTGGTTCATCTGTCCATTGGTGTCAATGGTGTGTTAAGATCTCCTGTTAGAATTATGTCACTGTTAACTTGGTTTTTCATTTCTGTTAGTACTTGTTTTATATAACTGGGTGCTCTGGAATTTGGTGCATATATGTTTAAGATAGTTATCTCTTCCTCTTGGAGTTTTCCCCTAACCAGTATGTAGTGACCTTCTTTGTCCCTTCTGATCATTATTGGCTTGAAGTTCACATTGTCTGCAAACAGAATAGCCACCCCTGATTTTTTTTTGGGTTCCTGTTGCATGAAGTATTGTTTTCCATCCTTTGACTTTCAGTCTGTGGGTATCCTTTTGGGTTAGATGGGTTTCTTGAAGACAGCATATGGTTGGATTTTGTTTCTTGATCCATTCTGCCAGTCTGTTTCTTTTAATTGGTACATTGAGACCATTTACATTAATGGTTATAACTGTTATATATTGGTTTATTGTTGACATGTTATCTTTCTGCTGTTGCATCTTTGTCTTTCAGTTCTGTTTAATTGTCTGCTTTATTTAGTGGTTTTTTCCTAGATGCATCTAGGCTGTCTTTCAGTATTCTTTGCAAGGTTGGCTTGGTGATCATGTAGTTTTTCAGCTGTTCTTTGTCATGGAAGTATCTTATTTCTCCATCCATTTTGAAGGACAGTTTTGCAGGGTACATCAGTCTAGGTTGGAAATCATTTTCCTTTAGGATCTGAAATACTTCACTCCATGCTCTTCTTGACTTTATTGTTTGTACTGAGAAGTCTGTTGTGATTCTGATAGGTTTTCCTTTATAGGGGATCTATCTTTTCTCTCATAGCTTTTAATATTCTGTTCTTTTGTTCGATTTTTGGGGTGGCCATTACTATGTGTCTGGGTGTAGTTTTATTTTGGTTATGGCTATTTGGAGTTCTATATTTCACTGATCTTGATATCTGTTTCCAGTCTCATGTTTGGGAAATTTTCAGCGATTACATCTCTAAATATTCTCTTGACATCCTTTATGTTGTTCCCTTCTTTTTCATTTATCCCTATTAACCTTATGTTGTTCCTTTTTGTGTCATCTTGCAGGTGTTGAATTGTTATTTCCTGATTTTTTTGTTATTTTTAAAAGATCTTTCCTTTCCTGTTCACTGGCTGCAATCTTGTCTTCAAGGTCTGAAATTCTATCTTCACATTCATTGAGGTGGTTTTTACAACTTTCGATGGAGTTTTTTATTTCCTGTATACCTCTTTGCATCTGCTTTATATATTGTTTGTTTCTTATATTGTTCATCCAGGGATTGTATCTTTTTGTTTATCTCCTAAAGTTTTTAAACTGTGTCTTCTTTAGACATGTTCAGCATCTCCTTCATTTCTTTTATCATTTGTTCTTTTACCTGAGAGATTATTTCTAGTTTGATTTCCTTTAAGGCTTCCCAGAGTTGCTTCTTTATTTCAGTTACTATTATTTCAGGTATTTCAGGTATGTGGCATATATTTTCTTCTATACACATGGCTCCTAGGCATTCTTGGGATGGGCTGAATGTTTGAGACTGCAATTTGGTCTTTCATTTTGTCATTTTCCTATATTTTTGTGCTTCAAGTTTTGTTCCAAGTGAGGTAGAGAGGTCAGCCAGGCTGGGACAGAAGTCCCTGCTCCCTCCTTACTCACTGATTTTGACAGGCAGCGGGATCCTGGGCCCCAGGCAGAGAAAACAGTTCGCTGGCCTAGGGCGGGGTTCCTTGCCTCCACTGATCTTACCGGACCAACAGGGAGCTGGAGGAGCCTGGCCCCCAGGCGAACAGGAGAGTTCCACGCCTCCGCTGGACTTACTGGATCCACAGGCAGCTGGATCCTGGGCCCCAGCCAGAGAAAACAGGCAGCCAGAGAAAACAGTTCGCCGGCCTAGGGCCACTTCTCTCGGTATTATGACGAAGTCGTTTCTGCAGCACTGACTTGGTTTGTCAGGGTCGTGAGCACCAGATCGCACTGTGGAGCTGAAAACCCCCTGGTCCACACCACTGTAACCATCCTGCTTCCCTAAGGGAGGTTCTGGGGGCCCTGAGAGGGTGCCAGCTCCGTCTGCGTTCCCAGTGAGAACAACTGGCATAACAGCAGTGTGGGGAGTGGCAGAGTGCGTGGGGGTCAGTACAGGGGCAAGCCTGGCCCTATCACTCTTAGGACCCTGGTGGTGGCACCAGCCCACTCGACGCTGCTGGCACCACTCTGCTCTTGGCCCTTGGTGCCTACCCATGGGATGTCTGTCCTTCCTTCGCCTCAGTGTCCCTTCCCTGGGCTTCTTGGCCACCCGTGTCTTGCTCTTTGGCAGCCATACCCTGTCTGGAGCATGCAGGCTGAGGTGAGGGAAAGAGAATTTAACTGAAAGACACAGTTAGATGATCAGATCTGCTCCCAGTGTGTTCCTCACTTGGAGGGTTATTTCAGAGTGTTTACTATCATTGGTGGCTGTTTCTTACTGTCAGCCACAATGCTGGTTTTTCCAGCCTGTCACCATTGTCCTTTTCCTTTCCTCTGCTTGAGGGCCGTGCTTCTGCCTGCTTCCTGGGTGATAACGTGGTGTTAAATGTCATGCTGAGCACTGCCTGGTTCTTCGGGCCACAGACTTGGGAAGCAGAGCAGTCAGTGTTAGCACCTTGGCGGGCGGGCGCCCGCAGCTTTCTACGCTCCTCAGGTTTTTCTTGTGCACTGTGGAGTGAATTAAATACTCACTGTATTGAATTGGGGTCAGATATGCATTGTGGGATCCATGTCTTTTGCCCCCCAGCCTACATCCCTACCACAGCACAGCCTGCACACACATGGAGACACAGAACTGTGCTGTCTTAAAACACCTCCAGTGATCACAGGTGGATGCTGCTGCTCTTACAGGGCTGTCAGAATCTGGCCTCCTCATATGTGTCTGTGTCATCTCTGGCAGGGCGGGCTCCCCCAGGACTGCCAGGTCCCGACCTTAGGTGCCATTAGGGCCACAGGGCAGGCTCCTGTCTGCATTGTGTACCAGCATGGAGCGCAGTCGTGTTGTGTCCACTGAGCCGTCCACCATCTGCGTGAGCACACATGTTAAGCGCGTGGTGGATTTAAGCAGCAAGAGTGTGAGTGCGCTCAGAGATCAGAGATTATGATGTTGCGTGTATTCCTGATTGTGAAACTGAAGAACAATTTAGATGTTGAACCTAATGGGTTCCCAGACCCTAACCAGACTGATCATGTCTTTTCCAGGCCTCCCAGTATTAAAATATGTGCTGACACCAAGAATAAAGGCAACTTATGTTGCTTTTGATTCTATGAAGAATTACCTGGATGCCATTTACGACGTTACAGTGGTTTACGAAGGGAAAGACAGACAAGGACAGCAGGTAGAAAGCATGACCATGACAGGTGAGTCCATGTTCACATGTGCCAAACGAGTTACTTTGTGACACATGGAAGTCAGCGCTTTAGGGCTCATTACTGGGTCACTGTGGAGCCCGGCCCCCAGTGTCCTAACCAAGTGCTCGGCCGAGAGACCAGTGGTATGGTTTGGGGCATCCGGGAAGGTCAGAACTCTCTCAGGAATAAAGACAAATTTCCACTGGACAGTCCGTATTTATTAGGTTTTCAAACAAAGCAACGGGAAACTGAGGCAAGCCCAGGCACTGAGCAGAACCTTGGGAATCAAAGATTTCTCCCAGCAGTGAATTGCACCAGCTAAGAGGGCCGTCTTACCTCTAGTTGGACAGCTTGATTGCTCAGAATGGGGCATCACCAGCCCGTGTCCTCTGCCGCTTCCGCTGCAGTGTCATCTTGACCTCAGTGTGCCCAGAGCAGGAGCTTTTCCAATGGGGCTGGCGACCCAGGCTCAGCAGCTTCACCTGCATAGCCTGGCCTGCGACAGCACGCACAGTTCACAGACTGGGGCGGTGTGTGCCCTTCCTTTGTCCGGGCTGGCCTTTGAGTGTTCCTCATCGGTCGCAGTGGATGTTTCTGTGTGCTGTGCCTGGGTGCCTGCTGTGCACCCTGCAGCCTCTGCCCAGCGTGTGCAGAGGGAGGGCAGCAGGGCAAGCTCGGAGGCCTCGCTCATCTGTGCACGATGGCGCTAAGGGAGTCTGACTGTTTTCTTTTTCAAATAGGTGCTAGGATTTTAGGACTTAGACGTGTCGTCTGTGTCACATGTAACAAGCAGAAGAACATTAAATGATCAGAATCATTTAGGAAAATGGAAGCACAGGCCTTCCTGGCTCCAGCGGGGTCTGGGGTGGGTGGGCAGGGTGGTCTGGTGCAGCCCCATTTGTGTCGCCCTGTGCTCTGCCACCATGGCTGCTGCCTGAGGGCACTGCCCACTCCTGAGGGTGCTTACGTTAGTCAGTGAGCGTGCGCCTCAGGCTGTGCCTCTGGCCTCCCAGGACAGAGCAGATCTCACTGGGGCTCCGGATCTACACGAGTGGGACTTACCCCACCAGCAGAGGTCAGAGCCCGGCGGGTGTCACCTGGCACTGTTCAGTCATCCGCCAGTCCTGGGGGCACTCCTCAGGGGCCCTGGATTGGAAGGTGTGGAGAGCAGCTGCTCAGAGTGGGGAGCTGCCTCATTTTCACTGCATGGTAAAGGGATTTAACAGTGTTTCCTAAAATATTAAGAAGCGAAACATGCTTTGTTCTTTGTTAGACTTCCTCTCCAGAGACTGTCCCAGAGTTCACATCCACGTGGATCGGATTGACAGAAGAGACATCCCAGAGGAGCAGAACTCCATGAAACAGTGGCTTCATGAGCGCTTTGAGAGGAAGGACAAGTGAGTAGCCACAGCCATCCCACACCTGGGTTCCGGCGGATCTCACCATTTACTACGTGGTCCATGCGTGCCCTTTCCTGGTTTGCACCTGACTTTCCCAGTCACTGGCCCCTGTGTGAGACAGAAAAGTCAGCAAGGCTGACCCCACCCTTCCCAACCAAGGCCCAGCCCCTGCACAGTCTGGCGGGCAGGGGACCAGTGACCAGGCTGTGGGACAAGTGCGGACGGGGTGGCTCCCAGCCCTGTCCCTTCCCCTTGTGAGTCTGGGGTCCCTGAGCCCTTCCTGGTGCTGCCCACACTTCTGTCCATGCTCGTGGTGCTGCGGATCGGACGTCAGTGTCGGCCTGGGCTGGCTCCCTGGGGAGGCAGAATCTTGGGAAATCCCGGGGGTTAACCGCTAGCCGAGTCTCTGGTCGCTTTCTCTCACCCTTGTTTTCCAGGAACCCGTGCCCTACCCCAAAGCACATGGCAGGTCGTTTATTGGACTTGCTGATTAAAATGACTGAAACAGGAGCTTTAAATTGTGTTGTTTCCTTCCGGGCACAGGTTGCTTATGGAATTCTATGAATCACCAGATCCGGAAAGCCGGAACAGATTTCCTGGGAAGAGCGTCCACTGGAAGCTGAGTCTCACGAAGACGCTGCCGTCGGTGCTGTTGCTGAGTGGCCTGACCGCCGGCCTGCTGACCACAGAGGCCGGACGGAAGCTCTACGCCTATGCTTTCATCTGCGGGACCCTCTTCGGCTGCCTCTGGGTCTCCGTCCGAGAGTGAGGGTGGCTGTGGTTGACGCAGCCAGTGGCGTCCCTCACAGACAGCCCTGCAAAACTCTGCTTCCTGAATTTAGCAAGGAGATAAGTAAATAAAGCCTTGCTGATTGAATGTTGGGTAAAATAGGATTTATATGAAAGCCAGTGTGCGTGTGATGTGGGCAGATGTTGCTTCTCAGTGTTAGTGCAGGAGCTGCTGAAGAGGTCCAGGCTAAGCAGAGTCCACACTGTTCTTTACACCTCCCTGAACCAATGTCACCCGCAGACAACTGTTAGGACTGTGATTTGCTACTGCTTTAAAATTCAGATGGCGCCTTTTAACATTCCTGTGCCGAGTATTTCATGGTGTTTGTTATTTTTAGTGTCTGGCCACCCGACAGCTGCACACTCTCACTGAGGAAGTGCTCCGCAGCTGGCTGGGCAGGGCTCGGCCCATGGCTCGAGTCTGCGCCTTGGGAAATCGGGCATACAGGTGTGGGGACTCTGGGAAGGGCGAGAGGCTTTGCCAGGTAGCAGCTCTTTCAGGGTGTATTTTACTGATTGCATTATTAGCTGATTCTGCTTCATATTTGCAAAATAATATTTCCTATTTGTTGAAATCACTTAATTTGCATATCCTGTAGACTACACAGAAGAATAAGGCAGAAGATGTCAAAGTGAAGTCTAGGTCCCAATCGTGACAGATGCACAGCATCCAGACTGGGACTGACACAGCCTGCGGGGCTCAGGGTGCCCCTAGTAACTCCCAGCGTCTACACGGTGCGTGCTGCAACAGGATGGTTCCTGTATACCCAAATGACCCGCAGACCCTGAGCCCTCAGACAGTGGAGGCTGCAGGACGGGGAATGGCAGCAGCACGGGCATCTGTGGCCCTGTGTGATGATGGCCGTGTTTGGGGGTCTGAAATTGTATCAGTGACAGAGGCGAAGTATACCAGTGGACTGATAATGAACAGAATACCTGAAGGAAATCGTGTCTGGATGTTAGTTGCTTTTTCCAAGCTAGAAAATAAGCTATCTCTGCAGCAGTCTTGGATTGGCACGTGGTGTGGGCGGGTGTCTGCTGTTGCCATGGCTGTGCATGCGGGACTCCTGACCCCGGGCCCCAAAGTGCGAGCAGCTCGTTAGGGGTGCACTGTGACCAGCGGTGCTGTGGCCTTCCCCAAGAGTGAGATTAGTCAACCCCTTGACTTTGTCAAATGCAGTTTTAACAGCGATGATTTGTAGCTTATTTCTGACAGATCAAAATCAGTGTGCACTGTGACACTTTGAATATCATGGGTCTACTCCCGTTTTAAACTCTGAGAAGCAGAATCGCTGGCTTGTGTGGATTATAACTGATTTTAGCCAGGCAAAGTGACCTCCCTGAACACTGTGTAACCAGGCCTGTGCCCACACACCTCTCCCCAAAGGCTTAGGAGGTGGTGGTGTGGAAAAAACTTGTGTATCAAAACGGAGTTTGTCTTCCATATGTTGATTTTGACTTGAATTACCCATCTAAAATGAAAGTCTCTCTGCCTATCCATAAATCTTTTCATACAGTATCATTTAAGTTTTTGTTTGTATTCCTCTTGATTTAAAGCCTACTTATTATTTAACTTTCCTTTATAAGACTGCCATCAGGGTGCATGTTTGTTTTTCAGCAAAAGGTGTCTCTGGAGGGAAGCAATAAAATAAAGTAAAATAAAATCTTTCACTGTCTGTGATATCTCTGCTGTTTTAACATTTTGTGACCCAAATATTAACCAACAGGTTTCTGTTACATAATAATACTTAACAATCGGCCCTGCATTCTGAATTTATAACACTGTATACATATATTTTTAAGTATTAAATGAACTTTTTAAAAAAATGCAACAAATAATGAAGCAGTATAATATTTTGGTTGTCTAAACATATCCACGTAGTTCATAAACCATGTGGCTGGTCTTACCCTCCGGAATTCTGTAGCTATCACGTGATCTCAGGAAAGCTTGTCAGATGCCCAGACCTGGCCAGTTCCTCTGGGTGCCTGCTCTTGGTTGCTCTCAGGTTCCTTCCCAAGGTTCCTTTTTTCACAAGTGGTCCCAGGGATGGGATGTGTCACAGCTCCCAAGGTTGTGCCTGGGGCGCACCCCCTTAAGCTAGGCCCAGTCTATGCTCCCTGCCAGCCCAGGCTCCCAGGGAGCTGTGTCCCCTCACCCTCCGCCCTCTGCTCACAGGCATGGGGCGTGGGTGGGGGGCAGGTCTGTACCTGGCTCAGCCTGGCCCAGAGCCCTCAGGCTCTGGCCTGAACTCCAGCTTCTGGTTGTTGGGTGTTTTCATCCTTGAGACTAGGGAAGTAATGGAAGCCCCATCCGATTAGTACCTGGTCCATGGATGGACGCAGAAGTTGGAGGACCTGTGGTCCAGATATCCTGAACACCACTGCATTGGCAACCAGGGCTCCTGCAGGGGACTTGGGGTCTTCATAGATCTCACGGTGAAGCAGCCTTGCCAGAGCCATAGGGCGTGAGTGTGCGTGTGTAATGACACCTGCTTACTCTCCCCCTGAAAAGTCCTTTTGAAGAAACCTGCTATACAAGCCCTCATCAAAGACCCAGCTCGGCTCTCCCATCCCAGCCAAACCCAGGAAAGGCACTGCCTGTGGTTTTGTGTCTTCGTTGCCTAAGAAGTAGCGAAGGTGCTACCAACTGTCTCAGTCCCGCAGGAAAACCTGGGCTAATTTATCTTGCTTTCTCATGGTATTCTCAGAATAAATTCTGACTTACTAGGTCTCTAGGTTTATCAGTGCTTCATTAACTTAGCACAACAGGAAAATATGGAATTCCAGAGTTAGCTTTTGGTGGTAAAAGATCAATGTGGCGCTCAGTTTTTTGTGTATGTGGTAAGAGGTGTATGTGGTAAAAGGTTTATGTTTGACCGCCAGCCTGCACCTCACTCAGGCCTGCTGTGTGCCGGGCGGATGCCAGGTAGGTGTGAGTCTGCCAATGCCTGTCTTGAGCTGTGTCCAGCCTGTGTCCCAGCAGGGAGGCCGCTGTTCTATGCAGAGCTCTGCATCCAAAAGCAGCCTCCCTGCTGGCAGCCTGCAGCTGGGACTGTCACCGCTTGCTGTGACCAGGCTCCAGCGCTCCTGCTGCAGAGTGCAGGAGATCAGAGAGGCCCAGGGCAAGAAGGAGGAGCTGTTTCCAGGGTTTTACATGCACGTGACCCAGCCCAACTCATGTCCAAAGTGCTGGGCGTCAGAACAAAGGGAACGTTCTAGTTTTACACGTTGAGGGTGGGTGGCCTTTAGAAACTGGGGCAGCGGGCAGGGCAAGCGAGGATACAGAGAAAAGAGTGGTGGATGACAGCCTTGAAAGAAGACAGAGCCCATGCATCCTGCAAAAGGAAGATAGCAGAGGCTGTTTATAGGACACGCTGCCAGCTTATCTGCACCCAGAACAAGAAGTCATAGCTGCAGTGGGGAGGGAGGAGCTCCAGGGCACTGCTCTTTAAGGCCCGCTTCTGTCTCCCCTTAGTTTGTCACCTGTGAAATACTGGCAGTGGTCACATTAGCCACAGAGGATTGGTAAGACCAAGACTTTCCTGTGGTGTGCAGAGCCCAGTGGGTGCTGGGTGAAGCTGGCTCTGTCCCAGTTTTACAGATGAGGAACTCAAAGCCCAAGACATGGAATCAAATACAGAGTAGCCAACTCTTGTTACTGCGCTCTGTTCTGTTCTGTGCATTGAGATGGGATCACACTAGTTAAGCAGGTGGTGTAACTATAAGGCCCATTATAGGTTGGTCTAAAATTTAGATCAGTGAGGAGACTATGGGACGCCTCTCCAGAGCCTCTCAGGAGGCTCAGCACAGAGGGCAGCACCTTCCGGTCCTGTGGCCTCACGGCAGAGGCAGGTCTTCCCAGAGGAGCTCTCAGCAAAGCTGAGAAAACCCCCTGGTGTAAGGGGTGCCCTATCGCTCTGTGTAGCCATCCTCTGCCTGCAAACTGGGGATCATTTCTTTTCCTCTCTGTTTCCTGCGCTGACTCTGGCTAGTGTCTGGGGGGCGTCTCGGGCCCCTAAAGTTAACCGCCAGCTCCAGCGTGAGAGAGGACAGCTCCTCCTCCCTCGTCTTGGCCTTTCCTGCTGTCCTGAGTGAGTGGGTGGCTTATTTTCTGGCATTAGATAAAGATTTTCCTGGCCACCCCGGACCGAGTTTGTGCGGCTCTGTGCACTCAGGGTCACTCTGCCTGGACACAAGCGGACGGTTTCCTGGTCACTTCAGGGGCTACCGACCTGGGCTCACTGGTGTGGGTCCACACAGCCCCTTTTCTCACCTGCACCTTGTTGTAGGGCTCCTTGCAGTGCACAGCAGGAGAGACATCAGGTTTCATGGCACTGGGAAGGCGACTGCAGAGCCTCTCCTGTCTCTGTGGACACAAAGAGGAAAGAGCCCACTTTATTCTTTTTTATTTATTTATTTATTTGTTTTGGTCTTTTTCCTTTTTATCGGTACCAGGGATCGAACTCACGACTGCCTGCTTGCAAGCCAGGCGCTTATGCCGCTGAGCTAAATCCCCAGCCCCTAGCCCACTTTATTCTTGCAGGCATTTTTTTTTTCCATTTAGAGACAGTCTCACTATGCAGTTGAGGCTGGCCTTGAACCCACTGTGGGGCCTAGACTAGCCTCAAACTCATGGCAGTCCTCCTGCCTCAGTCTCCTAAATGCTGGGATCCCCCCCCCCATCCTGAGCTTTATTCTTTTTAATTATTACTATTTTTATTTTAGTACTGAGAATCAAACTCAGGACCTTGTGCTTTGCCAGGCAGATGCTTATGCCACTGAGCTATTTCCCCCGTTCCTGGCTTTGTTCTTGGAGAGCACTTTCCAGTTAAATACCAGTGGTAGAGTAGTAAAACCATAGGACGTTTTTCACGTCAATCTGGTGTGCAGCACACAGGAAGAGATGAGCATGTGTGTCTCAAGATCCTGAGAACAGGGTCAAATATAAACATTTTAAGATTTTTACTATGACTGTGTTGCTTGCTGGTTTGGATTAATTCGGTTTCACTCTGAATAATTTTTGGTGTGAACTGTAATAAACTTTCACCTTCAGTGGAAGAAAATCAAGCAAAATAACACAGCTGTTATTCCTTTTTAAGACTGCTGGAGACCGGGCGTACTGGTACATGCCTGTAATCCCAGCACTTGGGAGGCTGAGGTAGGAGGATCATTGAGGGTTTGTGGCCAGCCTGGGCTACGTAGGGAGCTCAAGGCCAGCCTGAACTGCATAGTGAGGCCCTGTCTCAAAAAGACAAGACAAATAAAAACCTGGACTCGTACGGTATTGTTCTGAAATGGCATCCATAACCATGGACCTGTTTCACAACACCCACCAAATGCCCATCCCGCCTCGCCCTTCCCATGGATCAGAGGGCGCAGTACAGAGCTCCGGCCTGGCAGTGCCACCTGCTGGGTGACGCTGTCACTGCTCTGCCAGGGTGAGTTAGGGGTGTTGGCACTTGTGGGTCACGCGAATGGTGACACCTGTGTGTGGGTCTCTAAATACGCCTGCTGGCTGTCATCCAGGTAAGCAAAGCAGGTCTGTACCTGTTCTATTTTCTCCTATCTCACTCGTGAAGCTCATGCAGGGAGGCCTGGTGGGGGATGAGCTTGGGATCAGTGCCTAGCCGTGGGTCCCTTGAGGTCATGCTGCCAGCGCCCAGGGAACCCAGTGAGCGATTTAATCTCCATGCCTCTGTTTCCTTAACTACAGAAAGCAGGTTATGATGATGGCACCGCCTTCTAGGGCTGCCATGAGGGCTTGTGAAACAGTCCTCCCAGGTGCTTGGATCGGTGCCTGTGGGTTCTGAGCACGCAGGTGTGAGCTGCTGTCCTGCTCCAGCGATGGTGCTGGGGTGGTGGTGCCCAGCCTTGCCCCGCTCCCTGGAAGCCCCCAGGAAGTCTGGCACTGAGCACGCCACAGTCCTGCTGTCCCCTGCCTAAGGCGGTCACCCCGTTAACTTGCTGCTGGGTCTTCGCAGAGCAGAGCCGCCTTATCCTAGGGCTGATAGCGAACAACTGAACTGGTGCTACTTCCCTCCACTCCTTTTGTTCTTCCCAAAGAAAGTCCCGTGGGGTGAGGGTGCAGAGCACAGTGAGCTTTTGCCAGCCCTGGCCCCAGAAAGGGTGCTGCAGTGGGAAACGGTTCACCCTCACCATGCCGCAGGCAGAGACTCCAAGAAGGTACAGCAAAAGATGGTGCCCTGTGCTGTTAAAAAACAACAACAACAAAAAACCACGTTGTAATCTAGCAAATAACAGTAGCATTTCAGGTGAAGAGTGACAGCTACATGGTGATCCATTCTAAAAGGCTCCATGTCACAACAGCCTAGAACAGAGAGCACAGGGCCACTGAAGACCCGCCTGGAGGGACAGGCTATATCATTCACAATAGGCAGGAGGAGGATGAGGAGGCGCTGGTGAGGCCGCAGGAGGGTGGGTCTGCCTTTCCCTTCTGTGCGAGAGATCTGGAGGAGTGTGACCCCTGCACAAGAAGTGCTTATGGTGTTTAAGTAATTCCTGTGAAGGGACAGGGTCCTTAACCCCCTGTCTGAACCGGCCCCCACCCTTCTTGCCACTTTCTGGAGCCGCTCTGAACTGCTCCTTTCTGGGTTTCTGAGGTGTGGGCCAGGGAGAGCTGGCTTGCTGAGGCTGAGGCTGAGGCTGAGC